ACAATGAAGCTTGCTGTAGATTTGGAGCATGGAACCATGGATAGTCTCAGATCGGGACTTTACGGCCAGACTTTTCTTCGTAAGGAGGCTGAGAACTGAGACCGCCTTCAAGGTAAGTTAATCTTGTAGATCTGTTCGATTTAGGGTTGATTATGCTTCGTTAAACTGTGAAATTGAGTTTGCATAGTGAGATTTTTGCTCAAGGAAAATTGTTGATAGCTATAAACGAGAAGGGAGAGAGTAAGGCGTTTGATTTCGATAGAAATAATATCATAAAAGATCACAAGATCCCTGCCCACGATCTCCGTCTTCTAGACCTGAATCTATCTTACCCTTCTACTATTCTTGGTAGAGAGAGAGAGCTATTGTGCTCAATTTGGAGGTTGGGTTTTCTTCTGATTTTGTTCTTCAGTTGATTCGTGGTTTCTGGGTTTTTGTTTTCACTGTGTGATTAAACTTTTGTGGTGGATTTATGCAGCAAATCAAGGCGATTATTACTTCTGAAGAGGTTTGTTTTCTAGGATTTGTTTAGTTAGATTTTGTTGAGCAAACACAGATAAGTTGGCTAGTTTCAGTTTTGTTTTGAGTGTGACGAAGAATTTCACAATCTTATCTAGTTCTTGTGATATTTAAGGACTATGGAATGCTTAGAGAGTTAGGGTTTAGCTTTCCATGAATAAGATGGAAACTTCATCTCTTTTTGTACTAATGACTTCACTTATTTACACAGGTTTTACTTCGGAATCCAACAGATGAAAATGTTATTCCTGGTGTGGAGGAGCTTCAAAGACGCTTACCTATTGGCAACCATGGTCAAGGACAAGGAAAAGAGAGCTCTGCTGCACAGAATGACAGGGACACTGGTGAAGAGGATGGTACTACCTTCCCTCACAGACTATGTAAGAACCATTATGTCATTTTGATTTGTGTTAAATTCAAATTTCTGCTTGTTAAATTATTCTCAAGGTATGATGTCTTTAGACGGGGAACATGATTTGGTGTTTGTCCACCACATGATTCTTTCTCATCAAGCATAACATTCATGTTCCTTTACATAAATTCCAGCTTAGATTACGTTTGGATGGTCTTTTCAAACTAAAGGAACATGCGGTCCAGTTAACAAAAGAGTTTACTGCTTTATATACAAACGGACCAGCTGGTGGTGGTGGAATTAGGTAATTCCTTCACGTTGATGTTTGCTCTAAATTACAGCCATATCTCAATCCAATGCTTATTGCAGCATTACAGTAGTACCAAATCCCGTTGATTTGAGACACCTTATGACTATTAACAAATATTTAGTTCGAGTATGCATCTCTCTTTATATCTGATTATGCTGACTGGTAATATGATTCTGGATGGTCTTTTTGGTTTGACTTAACTACTTGTAATTAAATGCAGTACCGGACATAAGATGGAAATTGTTCTTGAAAAGCGTCTGGTATGTTGTCTCCATCTTGAAATTTTAACTATACTATATAGCCTTGCATAAACCAATTTCACAGCTTCTCATGTTATATGTTTGGTTATCCAGGTCACCCGTGTATCTGTTTCTGTTATGTGGAAAACTGGACTTCAGCACACCCAAACATCAGAGTCAGAGACTCCTAAACATCATTCACCAGTTGCTCAAGAGGAACTCCGCAAGGTTAGTGAGAAAGTGTATCTTGGATAATTGATTATCTTGTTTTCATCTGTTTGTGAA